TTTATAATTGGTTAATGATCACAACCAATCTTTTTTAATGGTTAAAAGGGGAATTATGGTATGGGTATTGTTTTTCATTTATTGATACAAATTCAAGGTCAATTTTGTGATATGTATATTTCTCCTCTTGATTAAGTATTGTGCTTATACTGATCTTTTAAAACATAATGCATAATTGAATACAGACTATAGATAGTTACTTATAATAGAATTTATAGTTAGGTAAATTAGGTTTTCTAGATATACAGAAATATATTTGAGATAGATAAACAGTCTTCAAACCTCTCAAAGACCTTCAGAAAATGGCATTTAAAATGGTTTAGGGTTTTTCTTGACAATGAGAAATGTCTGTTCCTGGCAGCACCAATTATGTCTGAGAGGAAGATGGGCATCAAAGAAACTTGTTATTGAGTTGGCTTTCAACATGGCAAGATTAGCCATTTGGGCAAGAAACTGCTCTTGCCTGTACTGCTTGACTGATGTTGTATAATCTGGACATGCAGGACCCACAGGAAAGTGACTGCTGAACTCAGTTTTACAGGGTTCCTGCTTCATGGAAGAGTCTACGATACGTTCTGCAGGACACAAAGAAATGACTGACAGACTGCCAATGCAGATGGACAGTTTGAAATTTCCTGCTTTGCTGAGAAGTGTTCCAGACACACTGTGGCCTATAGGCTGAAGATGGATGCCCCAACGTTACAGAGGAACTTCGGGTGACTGTCCAGGCAGTAAGATATCTCTGTCAATCCTAGTGTTTATATATTATCCTTCTGTGGTCTTTGATAGAGTTGAAGACAGATAGCTATAATTATAGTTTTCCTTAGTTATGATAAAAGATAAGCTACATATAGAACTTTGGACTCACAAGGATGGGATGGATGATATTTTCTTTAAATCTTGCTAAAATATTGTAACTATGTTCTTATTTGATAACTGTTCTGTTATTTACAATTTTACTGTGTTAAATTTAAGGCCTTTCTTTTTGTTTAAACAGAAAAGAGGAGATGTTGGGGGAAGTCTTATGTCAATAAAGCACTGTTGAGCCAATAGGAATCTAGATAGGTGGGACTAGGAGTCCAGGAGGATTCTGGGAAGGAGAAACACAGGAGAGTCGAGATGTGACGCCATGGGGTAGGAAGCCCAGAAACTTCTCCGGTAAGAGAAATACATAGATTAACAATTATGGGGTAATTACTTAAGTCAGAGCTAGCCAGTAAGAAACAAACAAGGCCAACAGCTTCACAATTAATATAACCTCCTGTGTGTTTATTTGGGACTGATGTGGCTCCCTCCCTCCCTCCTCCCTCCCTCCCTCCCGCTTTCTCTCTCTCAAACTTGAATCAATTAATTTATAATAATAAACTTCTCTCTGAAACTTACCATAAGCTGTCTGTGGATTTCATGAGAGAAGAACCCATAAGCCATTGGCTAGGTGAAATTTTGCACCTGTTAAGCATTCCCATCCCCAGCCCCACAAGCCACTTCAACAAGAACTGAGAAAGGATCCATTATTCTCAAAGACACCTCAATATCCAGGCAGAAGTAAGTGGTGAGAGTTCAGGCTCAAATGGCAGAGAGAGCTCCATATAGACTTCAAAAGAAGGACTGAAAGCTTCCACATCACCTGGTTTGCTGTGGTCTATACTACTTTGTGTTTGATCTGCCTCTGGCAATGAAGGCATAAAGAAATGACAGCCGAGACTGTGCTGGAGAAAGAGTTGACCTGACCTAATGAGAGCACGTAGACCCTAGTCGTAAACCTTGGGAACCAACATTAGATGAAACCAAGCCTTCTTTCTGAATATGGGCGCGAGCTATATTATTATTTTTAATAATAATTAAAAAAAGAAATGACAGACACACAGGCACAGACATAGAAAAGTTTAGACTGGGCAGGCTGTGCACTCTGGTTGGGAGACACCAACTGCAGCCCAGAAACTCAGTGCATTTATTATATACTGCCCAGTGAAGAGGCAGGTTTCTTGCACACAGCTGAATGAGGAGGTGGGTTTATTGCGTACAGATTTATCTAATCTTAGTGGGAGGTCTCTTATGAACCATTTCTGCTTATAGTAACCTGGATGGAGGATTATGTGGTTAAAGATTTCTGCATACTAATGTGCAGCTGGTTGGGAAAGTTTTGCCGCTCCCATGGCTCTAAGGCATGAGAGTCCTTGACATGGCCATGCACAAGTCAACAGTGCACATTCCCTTGGGGCCTCATCTGCTCCCTGCAGGGGTTGAAGAACTGTCCACTGTTTATACTGTGGGATATCTCTGATTCCTGGGTGGTAGGGAGAGGAGAGGAGTCATGCACTCTAAGGAAGCAATGTGGGGATTTGGAGATGAGAGATGGAGAGGTCCCTCAATACACTGCCATATATGGGATATAGAGAATGCACTCTCACAGATTGGATGTGTTATCTTTCTTTCCTGATACAAAGGAATCTGTCACACTGAGAATGTCATGTAACCTCACTTATAAAGAAGAGCTGTGTGACTCTGTCTATGACCTAACAGTTTCAATGACAAATGATACTCATCAGATGCAGGTTAACACAACTCTATATCTCAGTGTGGAATGTTTCTGAGCATTCAGGGCACAGGTGGACTACATGCACTCCTGGATTTGAAGAATTGGATCTTAGATCATCTCATCAGTGATCAGGGCTTTTAATAAAAAGGAATGGGGATTGGTTCTCCTTATCATACCAGATTAAGTTGTAGCAAGGTCAGATTTGAGAACATGCTAAGAAATTTCCCCCCAGATATTTCTTCAAAGGGAAAAACCACTTATGGATTCCTCAAGTAGAACTTTTCCAGTTAAGGGATGTGATTTACCCATGTTCAACAGTATACAAAACCGTACCACCGAAGGCCTGAATTCATGTTTTTGTTCATTCTTGCCAGTCTCTAGCTGCTGAATATAATAAAAGTTTTAGTAAAGAGATGGTGAAATGACTCAGTGGTAAAGGCTCTGTCACGGGGCCTGATGTCTTAGAATTGACCCCCAGATGCTATGAGGTGACAGGAGTGAACCAGGGGTCCTCTAATCTTCTCAGGGACATGTGGCATATCTGTACACACACACATACACACACACACACTCAAAAATAAATATTCTTTTTAAAAAGGTCTGTATGAAGGAACAAACCAAATGTCTATCAGTAAAATCCAGTCACATAAATAGCTTCAAAAGCTCAATTTTGTCATTTATGTTGCCAAAGACAGGTCTTAATGCTATTCACAAGAATACACAAGCAAAGTGGCAATGTCTTGGCAAGGCAATTTCATGTATGTATATATACGCTCCCAGACTAGACTAGTGAGTAGTAGTGCCCTTATACTAGGTGGTCTCTTTTCTTTTGTTCCAAAACACAAGGGGAAGACAGGTTGTTATCCACTGGCTAAGGTTCAGCATCTATCTGCAATTGGCAAATTTAGGAAGCAATGAGAAAGGGGAAGACAGAGGAGGATACTGAATTAACAACAGTTAGATGTTTAAGTCTTTCAGGAATCCCAGGAAGCTGACTACACTTGATCAAGAAATTTCACTAACAAAGCATTAACAAAAAAGACTCTCACTCTAAGGGAGAAGGGGGCATGAGCTAAAACAGATAGGCAGCCATTAAACCTGTTTATAAAAAAGATGACTGTATCTCTCATAATCATAAATTTGGAATATGCTGCACAGATTCTGGGAGAAAGACCACTGGCCAAATTGAGTAACACAAGCGTTTTTATTCATCTACATGGGCTGTCTCTTCCTAAGGCATGGTTCAAGAGATCAGCATTGAACATGGGAGATAAGGATTTTTATAGAGTAGAGAATTTGTAAAGGGTAATTTGGCAGGCAAATAGGTGAGGTTAGAGAAGCAGAACATAAGCATAATCAATTGATCATAAAAACCTCTGAAACAAATACAAGGTTGCAAGGTAGTCACAAAAATGTGGTCATAGCTAGGTAGTCATAATAACTCTTTGAAACAAAGGCGTGGTTGTCTTTTCCTGGACCAACAGTACAGAACCATTTGCAGTTAAGTATACAGGTAGGGCATAGCCCAATCCTTGAGAGACAGATTTAATAATGAACAGGAAAAAAATCAAGTTTGTTTTTATTGTAAGATGGCTTTCAAGATGGAGGCGGGCTACATTATCAGTTCTCCTCTTATTGGGGTTGCTGTGAGAATTAAATGCTTGCCCAAAATATTGTGCTCCTTTGTAAGTGATTTTATTTTTAATAAAAATTATGATGCTGAGTAAGAGCATATTCAGAATTATAGGAATTAATAGGAAGAGACAGTGGTGGTGGAAAAAGTTTCTAGGAGTAAGAAAAACGATTTATTCATTTGGAAGAAATGGCAAGCAGAAAACGTTATAGGAAGGTGACAAGTTCCAAATATTTCTCATCTAAGGTGAGCCAGAACTGTCATTATGAAGAAAGATACCTTAACATGCTCTCTTTGAGAGTTTTGGCTTTTTAGTATATGTATATCTAGTATATTTAGTATATGTACATCTAGTAATTTATTTATTCTTCAGCACCATTCAGGGAAAGACACGCTGAGGGTATTTTGAAGGGCAGTCATACACAATGAACTTTGATTTTACTTGCAATCAAATCTTGGAGCCTTAGTAAATTTCAATATTTCAGATTAATTTTTCACTCCTGATTTTAATAATATTTGAAACATCTCAGATGCTAATATATTAGGGCTATATGGAGATTTTAAAAGATACATCTAGTGAGAAGTTTTCTTAATGTAGTCTAAAAAAATTTGCTTTCTCCTTATCTGTCATATCAGAGACATCTGGGTTTAAAATGAAAATGGATGGCAAATGATCTACTGGATTGATTGTACACCTAAAAATGACTGCACTGGAGCATTTTATCGTAAGTATTTTAAAAACATACACCTGGATGTTAAAGTAATACGGTATTGCTTAAGTACAATTGCATTAGATAATGGAACTCACATTTATTTTCACAGCTTAGAGACAGGGTGAGTTTGTGAAGCAGAAAAGGAACAGCGTGAGAATACTGGTTTCCCTACTTTCTCCTTTGCTCCAGTCAGCTCTCAGCACATGCTCCACGGAGTCTACACTTACAAAGGTTGGGATGTTAGTCTTTTCATTTTATAACTGGTTAACTACATGCCGTTGTCTGCAATGGAGGAGTAAACCTTTAAGGGATACCCCAAAGTTCTATGTAATGTTTTGTTGACACAGACCCAAACGAACAAAGCAGACTTAAATGCTGGCATTCTTGTTTATGAAAACTAGTGTGTGTGTGTGTGTGTGTGTGTGTGTGTGTGTATGTGTTTGTGCACCACCGTGTGTGCGCGCATGCAAGCATATACATATGTGCACTCAAGAGCACGCATATGCACATATGCGTGTGTGCCTGTGTGTGCCTGTGTGTGCCTGTGTGTGTGTATTTTATGTACACATGCATATGCAGGTGTACATGCCTGTCTCAATCATTGTTCTATTGCTGTGAAGAGACACCATGACCATGGCAACTCTTATAAAGGAAAACATTTCATTGGTGCTGTCTTGTAGCCCAGAGATTTGGTCCATTATTGTCATGGTAGGAAGCATGGTGGCACACAGTAGACATGGTGCTGGAGAGGGAGCTGAAAGTTCAACATCTGGATCAGCAGGCCCACAGGAAGAAAGAGTGCCACTGGGCCTGGTTTTGGTTTCTGGAACCCCAAACCCCATTCCCAGTGATACACTTCCTGTAACTCCCAATAGTGCCAATCCTTATAAGCCTATAGTGGACATTTTCACTCAAAACTCCATAATGATCATTTATATGCACAGAGGACAATTGAAGCCACCAAATATCCTGATCTATCTTATTTCAGTGTATTCTCTTGAGAGTCTCTCACTGAACTTACAGATAGCACGGCAGCCCCCAAATTTCAATGGCTCCCATCTCAGTTCACCTACAGTGCATGAGGATGTTTTACAGATGATGTATATATCTCTACATCCTCCTGTCTCTCTACATAGATGCTGGGGAACTGAATTCAGTTCCTTGTGCTCTTACCTACCCAGGCCCACATTTTTTTTAATATAAAGAAAAATTTGAGCCACAGTGGGAAAACTAAATCATACTCTTTGGGTTCTACAACTCCAAGTTCAATGGAAGTTCTTTTAAAATCATATGTTGTATCAATAACTAATAGTAATTCTCAAAAATTGTCTCCCAAAAATTATTTTCTATATAGAGAAATTCTTTCATTTTGCTCTCCTCGCTACTTGTGGAAAAACAATTTTGTATTAATTTTTACATCTGCATAAATATTCCTGATTTATTGTCTGCACTTTGAATTCTTAGTTTGAGCCATTTTTAATGTCTGCCTTTTACTTTTATTGATTTTGAGCTAGATATCATTTTAAACATCTGTTCATTTTTAAACACACATGACCATGACTTTACTCTTTTGTGAAAATGGAATATTAGCAAGGACAAGAGAAGACATTTATTTGCTTTTCACCTAAAGGAGAGGAAAAGTAACTTTTAACATATGTTATTGTTTAGTCTTGTTTAACTAGCATAAGAAAGCTTGCATCAGAAATTGTAATCTTTGATATATTCTTTATTATTAGCTGCAATGTGTATACATCAAGATATGGCAAGTTTTCTTAGATCTGTTGTTGCCTTTGAAGCCATATCTTAATCAGAAATTTACAGCGTAGCTCATCTTTTAACAGAAATTCCAAAACGCCATTCATATTCTTTATGTGTGTGTGTTTTGGACAAGTATAGTACAGATTTTAACAATAGGTGGCTAACTAAAGTTCATACTGTTTAATAAATATGATCACCATAATTTATGGTACAAGCAAAACATAAATAAAATATAAAGCTCTTATTCTTGCTAAACATTTAGAGGTGATGTGTGTGTATATGTGTGTGCCCTCGTGTTCAGAGAGGCAGAGAACGAGTGGGAGAGATTTCTGAATCCTTGAATTTCAAAATGCATGCTTTAGCTTCTACAGTGTCTTTAATAAGCATTTTTGAGATGGATTGAACATTTCCTTAAAAGTGTAATTTTGCAAATATGAAAAAGAAGCGTAACTTCTGGGTTGTCAGGGAGAAGTACGGTCTGCATTAGATGTTCCTTCAACAAACAATTCTGAAATTTGATTACCCAGGTACCCTGGAACTTATTCAAAGGCCAATCAAAGCTTCTACATGTATGCCTCTGTCATTTATTTATCCAGACACTCAGTGCCATTGAATGAGATGGCAAACGCTGGAGATAATTTACAAGACTGCTCAGTAGCTGTGCCTTTCAGGGAGCTCTTATCAAGATCTTTTATTCTCTCAGTTTTCTCCAAAGCAGGTGGTTATATTATTCAGGGTTCTTCAGGGAAATTGAATCAATTCATTAGCGAATAGATACCTATCTATGATCCATCCATCTATCTACCCACCTACCTAGGTATCTGTCCATTTACCTAACATCTGGCTATCATCTCTATTTCTACACAAATATGAAGTACACATATCTATGCATAGATAAATCTATATCGATGGAATTGGCTCATGATTTCATGAAAGCTATCAAGTTCCATGGGATCTTTAGTTCCATCTGAAGAGTAGTAGATGCAATACCCAGGGAGAACTGATATTTCTGTCTGATTTCAAAGACAGAAAAGAGCATGGGTTCCAGATCAACTCAGCCAGACAAGAGCATTTCCTTCTAACTTAAAGAATGGTCAGTTCACTTATTCTGCTCAGGCCCTTGGCAGATGGGCACAGTCTACCAAGGAGGGCCATCTTTACGGGGTCAGCTTGTTCCATCACATTTAGAAGCACCCTCACAGAAACACAGGGGGGATAAAATTTGACCAGATGTCTGTCTGCCACAGGGAACCTGGTTTTTTGTGTTAACACATCGGTAACAACACATTCTAAAATTCTGCCTCTCCAGATGAAAAGAGTCTAAGAGTATTCACTTGTTCCTGTTGTTACCAGTCAAAGTTAACACTAGTCTTCTTTAATAGCTAAAGCAGAGAGTGGGTAGTCTGTTAACCATGTATTTACATTTGATTTTAAATGAAGAAGAAAATGTTTACTCTGCAGTCTAGAGCCCTTGGTATCTGTCATTTCAGAGTTTCTAGAAAAGGGGAATAAAGTCTTATTTCCTCTGGGAAGTAAAGTGGCTCCAGGAGATTTAGCACAAAAGAATGTGTAATAGGTAACAAAGATAAAATAATGAGAATCAGTATTCACATTGAATTTTATGTGATATTACCAATAATATCACAAGGACTATTCATAAGTTGAATTGCTAAATTTTCACAATAACCATATTTTTAGGCTTGGTGATTCCTGATTCATAAAGAAGCTCTTAAGAATTATAGTTGGAAATTAAACTGTTATCTGTTTGATATTAAATACGCTATACCCTACACCTTCTAGCATCTTTTCTACTCTTGTCCTTTCCCCCAAAATATCAAACATACTAAATGCTGAGTATTTCTCTACATGTACTGCTTTTTCTGTTTCTTTTTAGCTTATACCACTCTTTAGACTTCTTAGCAAACGTTATCTCCAAAGTTCATATGCATGGTTGTGCACTGATCGTTTTGGTGAGCCTGGCCATTTTAAATAAAGTCTCCAGTCTGGCCTCCACTAGATTAACTGCTATGATTAAGATTCTTGACTCATAAAACTAAAGAACAGACTTGTATCCATGGTGACTCCACAAATGAGCCTATACCTGGCAAAGCTCACTCGGAAACATCTTGTCAGCCTCTTTAAGAAAAACACATGAAAGAGAAACAGGATAAATGAAAAATCCATTGAACGGCAACTCACACATAATAGAAAAAACTCAAATATGTATTATTTCCTGCGCCCAAATTATTGCAGAAACAAAGATGAAGAAAATACAGTCTTTGCCTTCTCAGAGTAAGGGTTCTTTGATGGAAGAAATACAAAGGTTTATTATATATTAAGGACCTGAGTATAGATCACTTGAGGACCCTTTAAGGTGTGTGTGTGTGTGTGTGTGTGTGTGTCTGTCTGTCTGTCTGTCTGTCTGTGATGAACTCCTGTGTGTGGTTGCATATTCACAGGCACTATGAGCTTGTAGAACTCAGGGAATAACCAATGTTGTCTGTCTTGAGCCACATTCCCCTTTGTGTTAGAGACAGGTTGTCTCATTGGCCTTGGACTTGGCCAGATAAGAAGGTCAGCTGGCTTTCTTGCTCCCGGGGATCTGGCTCCCATCTTGTCATCTCAGGGATTGCAGACATACGCTGACGTGCAATGCTTTTTATACAGATTCTGGTGATCTGTGCTTCGTAAGGCAATGGGGTGATCAACTGCTCAATGTCCTCAGCTCAAATTAGATGTTTACAGTTTGGTTATCTCTTAATTTTTATAGTTTTCTTTTGTATTCACCATCACACTGAACTTAAAAGTCCACTAAATTTTTCCTGTGGTAGCAAGCAAACATCTTTCCACTGAGCTAGTTCTCTAATTATTTAAAGTTAAAGTTTATACTGAGGCTCTCGATAAGTTTTTTAGGTTGGACCTTAACTCCCTATGTAGCCTAGGCAGACTCTTAGTATGTGGTCATTTTGAGGACCCGAGTAGGTGGGATTACAGGTATACACATCTTGTGTAGTGAATTATTTACTTAATTAGTTAATTAATCTCCAGTAGACCATAAATATAAGAGACAAGCAACATTCCATCTTATGCTAATGTATAATAGAAGTTAAACATTTAAAGATTTAGTCTAGGGAGAGTCAAAAGGAGACAATAATTCAAGCCTGTGAATACAGAGATAATTAGGCTGGTATGAAAGTTTTGAGAAATTGCAAGAAAACAATTTAATTAAAGATAATTGCTCTTTGAGTCCAAGTGGATTAGGAGAAGGAGAAGCAAGGAGGGCACACATTGGTGGGTTAGTTGCATTTTCTCACTTAACACCACTGTGAGAATTGTTCAGAGTTGAGGACACAGCCTGGAACACCAACAGGAATATTCTGGGGGCAGCTGGAAAAGAGATTCAAGAGGGAAGCAAAACCTGAGGGCAGAGATTTCAATGGTGAGTAGTGAAGATGTTTGTCATAAAATATCTA